AATGTGGATCAATCCGAAGACGAACAAGAAGATGAAGATGATGATGAAGATGATCGAAAGAGTGATATTTCGAACGTATCATCAACTGTCAGAGATATTTCGGGCAATTTTAAGCGTCATCATAATTGTACACAAAAATTTATGCAAGTAACATTATGTAATGACTCGGAAGATTTATTATCTAAAGCTATAAAAGAATTACAAAGTTATAGTTTGCACACTCGATCATGGGCATTAACACAAGATGAAATTACATACCTTTTAAAACAACCACAACTAAACAAACCTTCGAAAATTAAAAGTAAAGTTCGTAAGCAATGTTTTCAAATTAAAGATTATCTCAATGGTCTCGTTAGTTCAACTCCCAACTCTGTCGTAGAGATCTTAATAATTTATAAAAATGGTATATGGCGTGTGAAAGTGAGAGGATTCAAGGACCATGTAGACAATGCTGTATCCAAAATACAGAACTGGCTAAATGATAATATTGAAACTGAAGTACAACTTTCTATTTCAAAAGTTATGGCAGTTTTTCTCCGAACAAAAGCTTCGTCTGATATAAAAAAAATGGAAAAAATTGATGGTATAAAAATAACAATCATGTCAGCTGCTTGTCGAAAACATACGAATGACGAACAAACTGATAACAATGATTGTTTGAAACTCAGTGGTTCTTATTCACGCATTAGTTCCGCACGAAAAAAAGTGGAAGATTTTCTCGAAGGTTTATTCGAACAAGAAAAACAGTTTCCTTGTCCGAGTTGGGACGTTTCAAAGAACATTTCCCAAAGTCTTCGTACATGTCTGAAAAAATTACAAGATTCAGATGATTGTGAAGCAATAGGATGGCTCAAAACCTATACAGCGACTGAAAGAAGAGATACTACACCAAGAGTTACTATATCAATAGTTGGGCTGAACGAAGAAGCAGTTGAAGATGTCACTGAACAATGCCAAGTTATTGTAGACGGATATGTTATTTGGAAGCCATCTACAGATGAGTTTCGCGCGATATTTAATGCGTTAATAGTGAAAAAGTCGCCGTTTATTGATGAATTTCGACAACAATGGGAAACTGATATACAATTAGATCGAGTTACGAACACTATCACTATTCCTGCACGATCGAAAATGATAGCAGATGATATCAAGGAAGCTCTACTAAGTTTGGGAGAAGAAAAAAAACCTCGAGTGACTCGTATATCTGAATTTATTCCTATTCAACCTAATATTCGTCGTTTTGTCAACCAAGCTATTAGTTCCTTGCTTGATGAAGCAAAAACTCAAAAAGTTTTTGTAGAAGCTAAAAATTCTACTGGATTGAAACTGCATGGTCTTTCTGATATTGTTACGGAACTCAAACAAAAGATCAATTCCATTATCAATGAAATTAAACAAAATATCACTACGAGTCGTTTGCAATTATCTTCAACTGAGTCAGACTTATTTCGAGGCGATGCATATAAACTAGCAAAAAGTATTGAACGAGAAACGAATACTATTATTCGAGATGTTGCAGCAGATAAAACGAATTCTACATCAAAGACCAATGAGAATGATACCAATTCGGTCGTAACTGTTGTGGTAAACAGTCGAGGTCAAACAATTGTCGTAGAGAAAGGTGATATCACCAAGGTAAAAAATGTCGATGTGATTGTGAATGCAGCGAATGGACCATTGTATCATGCAGGTGGCGTAGATAAAGCAATTGCTGATGCTGCTGGTCCCGCACTAGATCAAGAGTGTAGACAAATAATTGCTAAGAATGGAGGTTTACCCATTTCTGCTGGTAAAGCAGTCAAGACAACAGCTGGCAATCTTCCTTCCAAATGTGTTATTCATGCAATTGGTCCTCAGTATATTGATGGTGATAAACAAGAACGTCCGTTATTATTTTCTAGTGTCTTATCTAGTTTGAGACTTGCTGAAGGTGAAAGTTTTACAAGTGTTGCTTTACCAGCCATTAGCTCTAAAACTTATGGCTTTCCATTAGCAGATTGTACAAATATTGTGGTCCGCGCAGTAAAACAATTTTTTGCTGATTATCCACAATCACATGTGAAAAAAGTTATTTTATTAGACATGGATGATGCAGCTTGTAATTCATTTGCACGTGAAGTTGTTATCGATCATAGAAATGCACTTATAGACGATGATGATATTAGCAACTACGAATTGCCTCCATTAACAGCTAAATGGTGTTGGCAAGATGGTAATGGCGAAAAAATTTATGATGAAAATCATACACGTCAAATTGAGACTGCGTTTCAAGATTACCTCAAAACTTCCGCCAAATCGGTATTAATAATTTCTGCAGATAATTTAAAAAGTGGTGTTATCGTTAATTACAGTATTCATTTTCTTCCGAATTTGAAGCAAATGTTGACAAGCAATCCAAGTGCACTCAATAGTCGCATTGTGTGTGGACATCAAATGAGAGAAAATACTGGCTATAAACGAGATATCATTCGCTATCCCATTACACAACAAGCGAAATCTATACCCGTTACATATCATCCCAAACCATTAGACCTATATGATTTGAAATTAGTGACGACAAAAGTCTATTGGGATATAATTGGTATCACCAATGCAGCTATGCAAAAAGCTGAAGCAGCAATTCGGAAAGCAATCGATTCTGCCACGATTTCAGAGCCTTTCTCCATAACTCTGAATAAACACTTTGATACTCATAAGAAAGAACTCATCAAAATTGCAACTCAACAGCAAATTAAAATTGATTTTCAGCAAGAGTGCTCAGGACAACTATCAATGGTATTAAAAGGTTTAAAACCAAATGTAGCAGAATCAAAATTAAAAATTACTTCATACGCTCTAGATACCTTGAAAATGCAAGTAGATAACGATCAGATAATATGCATACCTAAAAAATGGGGTGATCAAACGGAAGGATGCACATTAGTTGAAATTCCCCGGAATGATTCTGACTTTGCTCGCATTGAAAATCGTATGAAAGAAACTATGACTAATGTGAAAATTGATAAAATAGAACGAGTACAAAATATACGCATGTGGAGACATTATGCATTTCGTCATCTTGAACTTAAAAAAGAACTGAGTCACATGCCTAATTTACAAATCGAAATGGAGCTATTTCATGGAACAAGAACAACACCACCCAGTGAAATTTACCATGGTGAATATGGTTTCGATATGACATATAGTACAAGTGGTATGTGGGGTATCGGTACATATTTTGCTAAAAATGCTTCATATTCGTGTAATGGCTATGATTATAAATTACCAAATGGTAAAAGGCAAGTGTTTTTAGCCCAAGTGCTGACAGGAGATATATATGATTGCAAGAGTGATTCAACTTTGCGTCGACCTCCAAAAAAAAATGAGACGAAATCTGGTCTACGATATAATAGTGTATCAGGTGATACAGGTGGCAGTAAAGTTTACATTGTTTACGAAAATCGTGTGGCTTATCCTACTTATTTGATTACGTTTACCGTCTAGATTTTTTAAAACTTTCATTCAATTTGTTTTTCACACATGTATTAATCTTGAATGAGTTACTTTGACTTCTCAAATAAAATAAGAACACATTTTGCAAAAAAATTGACACTTTCATTAAACATTAGATTAGAAATATGAAAATAGGTTCATGCTCCCAATGTCATCTTTATTGAATTAAAGTTCGAAATCAGTTCTAAAATCAAAAGCGAACATGTCAAAAATTTCTCGAAAGAATTACAGATTCTGGACGCATGTTGATATATCTGTAACAATCCGTGAGATAGGATGAAGATGTTTTGCAGTTCTCGATAAATCAACAATTATGAACAATTATAATAACCAGTATCGATCGAAAAATTCATTCAAGAAATTATAATTTATGAAAACAAAATCTTGGAACAAAGATTTGCTTGAATACAACAGGTATAAGATGAATGAGGATCTTGTTGTGTGTCATCTTTGAACACAACGACATCATCATCTTTATTAAAAATAGATAATTCTTCATTAACGAAAATCAAGATTTTCCGACTAATTAAGAATCAAGATTTGTTTTCATTATTATTCTTTTTTTGGTTTTATCTTCCGAAGAAATTGTTCTTTATAAAATCATAGATGTGAACATTCTTCAAAAATTCAAAATAGAAATTTCCAGAATATTCATTATCTGATCTACTATCACCATATCATTGATTTCAAAGGGATTTTTCAGAAACTTGAACTTGAATCGTTTTGCTTGTAAAAAAAACGATTTACATGAATCTCATTAAATATCCACAAACTTCGATATGAGAACAAGGAAACTTCTCCAAAACCCTACTGCGATGATTTCTGTCATACTTCGATGCTAGATTCAATGGGATGTATATCAAAATCCAGTCGCCACATCCGCTAGTGAATGAATCACTGACCTCTCATTAAATTCTTTCACACTGGTCAGATCTAACAAGATCCGATTAGATTCATTCACCTAACCAGTCTACATGCATAATATCGATTTGGAATTGAAGACTATTTAACATAAGCAAACATGTTTTATTGGTTCTTATTTAAATAAGCTAAAAAAAGAATGCTATCATTAGTAAGAAATAATATAGTTCATATTTCAATTATTGTTTAAACTGTAGATAAATAACTACTAATAAAAGTATTACTTTTGTCGAAGTATAGTATAGAACATAAAATATTTTCTTTTCTTATTATAATGATTTCATTTGAGCTAATTCAAATATATTTAACGTTCACAAATTATTTTCTTTTATTGAAAGAATTTCTAACAAAAAAATATTTATGAAAATTTTTTGGTCGAACAAACAAGTTATCCATACGAAGTCTTTTTAATTGAACACAAGTGAGACGTATTGTATCATTGATAAAATTGTTTGTTACCCTTACAAATGATTCATATTTCATGCAGAGATCCAATAGACAAGGTAAGTAAAGCTTATTAATGACGATGAATGTTGCTTGTTTTGTGATGATACAACATTATGTATAATCAACTCTTTAGAAATAATTTTGAATCATTGCTATTCAAAAAGATACGTATCGTTCATCATCAAGCATCGGACTTTATTCAAACATATCATCTTGAAAACAATTGTTAAGATGAAGAAAATTTTCAAATTGATATGGTATTTAATTACAGATCTTCATAATTCAACATAGACATATGAATTAAACTTGTCCATATATTTTACTAATCGAAGTACATTGAATGTCTTCATTTGATATAAAAATCAATTTTAATATTATTATCGATGATATCATCTGTATTTCTACTGAAACTAAATTTATTCAATCGTGACGTATAAATCAGAATGCCATCATTCTAATTGAATATCATCAACAACCATTGAATCATATCTTACTACTGACAAAAATAATATCAATTATTCTAGATTGATCATGCGATGAAGCAATGGAATAATTCAATTATCATAATCATAAGTATATGTCTTATAAACTTACAGACATGCAACGTGTTTGTGACAGTTCATAAATATAAAACGACACTATCTTTCGATTAGAAAATAATTGATAAAAATTCAAATTGATTAAGCGTTTACATAAAGATAAAATCAATATTAATATATTTAATAAAACTTGAGATAATTTGTAATCTTGTCTCATTTCGAATATCAATATTCAGTTGTGTAATTTATTGAAAAAAAAAGATTATGCAGAATCGAATGATCTTTAATGTAAAAAAAAATGGAAGATAAAAATTTGATTGTTTTCATTATTTTATTACTTAAAAAACAAAATTAACTATTAATATCATACCTGCTAAAATATTGAAATAATATTTCTTCTTGAAAATTACAAAATTCAGTCTATTGATAATCATAAGTAATATTTCATTAAAGATAAATCAAGTATATTTAAATGATTGTTATTCAAAATTTGATGATAGGAATTTTTCTTTCTATTTAACATTTTTCATTATTTATTAGTGATCAAGTTGTCAGGTCATCCTTTTGTTTTTGTTGTTAGAATGTTTAACATGTATTATGCTCTTTATAGAATATATTTTCATCTTAAAAATAAGATCTAATAGACCAATTAGACATTAAAAGTTTACGCACAGAATAAACTATAAATGTAATTCATAGCCCATCTAATCGGATTGAGAATTCAACAAATAATTGTTTTCAATTACGATTCTTAATTATTATACTGAACAGTAAATGAAGATTTTAAAGAAAAAATGAGATGAATATTTGCTATTTAGTAAGTTTAAGTTCTAGAACCCATTCCGAGGAAGGAAATGTTATCTCAAAAATGGATTAGCATCACATGATAAAATTGACACATCCTTTTTTTTTTATCTCAATCGATTTCTCACATAAAACTGGGATTATGAAAGTATTTTTTTAAGCTCCTGTGATATAATTTGACCGAATTACATCGATAAACTTATTGTTATTTATTCAATTCTTTTATGTTAACAAGTATTTTTATATTGTGTTGAGTATGAGAATAATATTTAAAAAAAAAATGATTGATTTGATAAGTCTTTCTGAATTGAATTATGTCTTCCTTTACCAAGGCTTTAGTCATTAGTTTGAGCAATAAGCTACATAAATTTAATAATCGTTTTAAATTTTTTTTGAATATATGTTTCTTTCTTTTTTCAACTCTTGGTTTTTCACTAACATACAAAATGTTGATGCAAATTCATTTTGTGTTATAGTATTGAAAAATTATATTTTCGTTGTCAATGAAAGAAGATTGAGTAAAAGTTACAAAAGACAGAATACTCATCTGTTGTATAGTTCTAGTTTATTTCTCTGGTTGATTTATGTTTATATAGTATTATGATGTTCATAATTAAAACAATCATATAAAAATCAATAATATAAAATTGTTTTTGACATGATCTTAATTTTTATTTAATATTTTAAAGATTAGTTTTATATTTCGATTAAATAGGAAAATCAACTTTTTTTTTTTTTTTTTTTTTGTTAATAAATAAATTTCATCATGATAAATACAAATTATGATTAATATATTTTATTAAATAATCATCTAGGAAATTTTTCTGATTTATTTATTTTCAATTATAGAAATCTTAGAAAAAGTTCTAAATCTTCTCTGACTATTCCGGAACTCAGTGTAACACGTAATATAGTAATATTGAATGATTACCTTGGTAAATTTTTAATAAAAGAATAATACGATTTATAAGTGTTTGTAAATGAAGTATAAGATGAAATTGACTATATCATTTAAAGTAAAATTTGTAATATTTAAAAAATAATTTTGACAATTATTTAATACTTCTATACTGTATATATTAATATGATCGATTGAATTTGAAATAATTCTTAATTTAATGATTCACTTTCTGTTATACTATAAATTATCTTTATTATTCGTGTATCATTTATATTTTATGTATGATCGATTCGAGTGACAAAAATAGTTCTTTTTTATTGTATATATGGTGTTTCTCTCTTGAAGGTAAAATGCGTGAATGAGTATGTATATGCGTACATTTTTTCTATTTTGAAATCAAAGCGAAAGAAAAAAGCAAACATGATACCAACTAAGTTTTTTTATTTTCTTCAGTAATCAAGAAAGAAAATACTTTATGAAGAATAAATGCATCCGACATATACTACTGACAAAGAAAGCAAGAGAAAAAGAAATTATGATACACTTGTCTACTACGTCTATCATCACACATGCTCGATTGCAAGCATTACCGAAACATGAAAGATATGGAGACGTAGACATAAATTTAAAGGTGTGGGAGTTAACAAAATAGAATATACATTTTGATTTCCAGAAAACCACATTACTTGATGTATATAAAAGGTAATGATTTAGAGTCAGCGCATGCTTTCCTATTATTGCACAGTTTCGATTCGATACTTGTTCAATTTTTTCTTACAAAAGGAACAAGAAGGTAAGATATGAAATCATTGCCAGAATCTGAGATTTTCTTCTATCTATCGTTCATTTTCAAGACATGGACACTCATATTAAACAGCTTATTAAAATAAAAAATTATATTGAACAAGCTTCTATATGTGATGAAAAAGGATTGGCTCGTCTAAATTATATGATTGCTATTGAATTACTTCAAGAACTTTCAATGAATTTGAACAACTGCATATTAGAACTTGAAAGTAAAGGAGAACAACCTGAAGAAATATTATTAAATATTTGACTCTTGTCATCGGACATAAAAACGAACATTCTTTATTTTTTTAATCGAGATATTTTAAGATTAAATATATTATTGAAAAAAAAGAAAAAAGATATATCATATTAACATTTGCTAATGCTTAGTAAATGATGGCATATTTTATTTAATATAATGAAGATTATTTTTATCAGAGAAATTATTTGACATTTAGAAGATAGATGTTTCATTTAGCGTATGTCTTTGAAATATTAACATGTGACATTGTTGTTTCTCATCGTGTTAGTAAACATATGAAAAAGAATACTTTTGCATTCGAAGGAAAGAAACACGTGGTAAATAGCATGTATCTTTTTTGCCTTGCCATACAGAACTGGATTATTTTCTTCTTGCTGTGAAGAAAACGTGTTCCTTTACTTGTTGATATTGTATGAAATAATTACAGTTACGGAGTTATTCAAGAAGAAGAACTTGTAAAGTTCTTAAATAACCACGAAAATGAACATAAAAATTTATATATTTCAATTTTATAAGTTACAATGAATTTTCTATTCATGTAAATTGAAGAAAAGTGTGCTTTAAGGGCATCCCCCCTTCCCCGGGTTTCTGAAGAACGGCTCGGTCAAAAATTATGAAACTTGCAGGGTAGATAGATCTCGAGTAGTAGAGTAAAAGTTGTCATAAACTCAGAATTCCCAGATACTTCCTTCTATGAGATATAGGGAGTACAGGGACCAAAAATGACCTGAAGTTTTCCTCCTCGCAAACAGCCAAAATTCATTTTTTATGGCTGAATTTTTTTTTTGTAGCAACTAAGACAAAATCCGGGCGTATGTTTTTTTTTTCTTTGAAAAATATTGTTTCCTTCGCTTATGAGCACTAAAATACTGGAAGCCCTGTCAAAAAACGTGTTTTTTTTGCCATAGGGCAAATTTTGTAAGATCTGCCAAAAACCACCAGAACATTATTTCAAAAAAAGAAAAAAACATATACACTCCGATTTGGTCTTAGTTACCACACAAAAACTTTCAGTGCAATCGGACGAAGCATTTCGGAGAAAAAGGGGAAAAACTTCAATTTTTCTCTAAAAGCGACATTTTTTTTGATATTTCGCGTTTTTCATTTTTTTTATGCATAGCTATCAATTAATGCAGTTGCAAAGCGGCTAGGAGAATGCATCATTGACTCACACAACACATTTTGATGATGAAATAACTATATTAGTATAGATCATCTACAACACGACAGAGCTATAGAAAGTTGTATTTTTGTATAGGGGATATCTAAAGTCGGGTTTTTTAAGGATCTAAATAAACATGAAAACTTTTCGTTCATATGCCATTCGATAGAGGACTCTTGAATGTCTTTTTCGATACAAAAAAATCGAAATCGGAAAAAGTGAATCTTTGGGGTCGGGCAAGAGGGGGGTGCCCTTAATCAAAATCATGAAATCAGATTGATAAAATGACCGCGTAAATCAATGACATTGGAATGAATTAATTTGAATAAGTAAATTTTTATAATGCAGTTAGTTTCAATTAATACATATAGTTTTCATTAAACAGACGCATTTGATTTTCTTAGCAATTTTTGATATTGTTGCCTAGGTGCGTTGTTTTACATATGTTATCAACTTATTTCGTTCATGTTATTTTTCTAAGTTTAGAATGGAAAAATATTACGTCACAGTATGTCATATATATTCGAGTGAAAAAGATGAAAGAAAAGAAAACGATCATGTTGTGCTCCATTCTCTTTTACGTCTGTCGTTATGTTGTACTACACTTTACTTGGAGAATGAAAAAAACCTTAAACAAATGTAGACGTAGACGTGATTGCAAGACTCATACATAAACATAGTGAGTAATAACGACGAAGCATGCACATTGAGAAATGAGAATAACTGCATGACTATGTTTGTCAATGAAAAATGTACTTATCTCTAGTAAAGAGAACTTCCAACTTGTCAACTGCTCGGATTCAAGATTCGATCAAAGTGTTTTTTTAAAACAAACTTAAGTCTGTTATGTAAATTTTCTATTCTCAATATATAGATGTTTACATTGATTATTTGCCTCAAATTAAATTAAGAGCTATCATATTATGACAAGAAATTTCATTGAATTTCAATAACTTTGTTTGAACTCTTGGAAGTGAAGGAGAAGAACCAAATGAGATATTATTTCTTTGACATCTATTGTAGTAAAATAAAAGTAATATTCTTGATCGTAACCCTCCTGTGACAACTTGAAAATTACAAATCCTCATTCAATGTAAATCAGTATCATTCAATAATAAGAAAGTTCATATTTTAATAGAACGTTATTAGATTTTCTGTAGAAATTAAAGTAAAGTAAACTAAATTTCATAAAGTACGATTCTTTGTTCATTGTCTGATTCGGCATCATAACCTGATAACCTTATAGTATAAGAAAGTATTTTTCTAGACACTGCTTGATTGAATACACATTAGTTTTCTGCTGCTAATTTCACTGTTTCGTAGTCAACATGATAGAGTTCCTCTTGCTGAGTACAAATATCCTATTTTTATCAAAAAAACTGCTTGATCGCATTTTCAAACTGTTTGTTACATGGAAGTAACAGCTCGTGATCCTGAAAGATCTCTGTTAGTATCCGTAGAATATTAAAATAGTTGCTACCTGACTCAGGTTTCTTTTCCTATATGAAGGCGGAAGAACCTACAAGAAACTCTATCGGCATTAGTATCCGAATAACATTGTACTACCTGGATCTGAGTTTGTAAACTCCTGTGTGCCAAGCAAAAGTCTATTCAAGGTAATCCTTCAAGAGATCTTCTATCGATTTCAAAATTTCTAGTAGATAATGATTTTGATTTACTCATTTTCGAGAACGCATTGTTATCAGTTAAAACCATGAAGCAGATATCTTAGGAGCTGAATGTAGATGAAGTATCATGGAATTGCTCGCAATGCTACTACTTTCTTTAATCATGCTGAAATAGTTCATCTTTTGTAGCATGAGTACGCAGTCATTCGATAGCTTTTTTCAGTACGCTGAGAACAATCAATTTTGTTTGCATGAGATTGTTCATGTTCTGTTTAACCTACACAGTACTGAAGAGGATGTGAGTGTAAATAGTTCTTCAATTAATATACAGCCACCCACACTCAACTTGTGTTTTCATTTGGTAATATTCACTAAAGAAATAAAAACATAATTCTACTCGAAATGTTCTTTAAGTAATATAATAATAATTAATTTTCCATAAGAGCTGTCTTTTTTTCTATCCTAATCTTAGATGACTTTTTATCTTCGATTATTGATATCGTTGAATCTATTTGTCAAACGTTTTCTATTGATTCTTGTTTATTTATAGAATAGCTTGATGAGCTTGGTTTTGTATTAGTTTTACTACTACCAAAGTATCTTTCAATGACTCTGACTTCTTTTTTTTTGTTCAAATAAAATCTTGACATTTATTTACATTTATTGTCGGCGCCAGACTTAAATGAACTGTACTGTTTTTTTTGAATATCTCGATATTAGTTTGAGCTATCGATCTGTGATCTTCATCAATTGAAAGAGAAGACGTCAAAATATCGTTTTCTTCAATAACGTATAAGACGAAATCTTTTTAAAACTAATCATCTTCAAATCGATAGCTCAAACTAATATCGAGATATTCAAAAAAAAACAGTGAAGTTCATTTAAGTCTGGCGTCGTCAATAAGTTTCTTGTATAAATATACAATATCAACACAGAAATAAATATAAAAAAATAATCGGACAATTATCAAAGGAGATAGTCATATAATACAAAAAGAAATTCCATTCTGGCTCACATATTATATATGAGAAATTGTATAATTATTTAAATATAGTAATTTGGTGATATTAATACATCATCAAAGGTAATAAGTTGATCGTCGGTAAATTTTTCTCTATGCTGATGCCATGAATCATGATGAGTACGACGAAATTCTGATAAAGTTTTTTTCACTGATTTCTAATTAAGAAAAAAAAAACACAACACATAATCAACATTTTCAAATAATTAACTAACTTGAATAAGATCGGGATCATGTGAATGTTCACATAGAAGCATTAATGCAGCTGGTATATAATTTGAGATATCATATGGACTTGAAAGAACAATTGCACAAAGACCGAGAACACCTAAGAATATAAAATATTTAAAAAAATTAATTTCAAATCAATAATATTAATTAACCTCCATGTCGTTTAATAATTTTTTCAGTTGTTATAATTTTTTTTCCACCTTTTTTAATAAAATAATTTATTTTACTCATTTGACTGAAGTGTTTCTATAGTAAATAAAAGATTTAAGATGTTTTTTTTTTGTAAATCAAAACGTAAATATTTACAAAATCTTCTTCATTAACTTGTATATATCCACATTGATAAAATCCTGATAATGTAATAGATGCAACTGAACGAACTTCTAATTGTTCATCAAATAAACATTTAAAAACAAGTTCATGTAATTGTTTTTTATATGGTCGAGCATTGAATAGATTACAAAACACCATATATTGTACAAATTCCATAGCTACTCGACGTGCATGCCATTTTGAACTTGTACAAACCTTTAATTTTTGTTTTTTTTTTCGGAACAAAAAATAAAATAAATTTTTTCCATTTCTTTTAGTTTAATATATATTTACTTGTTCTAATTGTTCAATTAATGATTCAAGAAATGGTGTATGTAAATAAGTCATAGCAACATGCATTCGACTGATTGTTAAATTTTCACTTGGAACAATACTTTCTAATTCGCATAGCTAGAAAAATATATTTAAATATGTTTCAAAATTAATAAGAATACATTTAATTGAAATATACATATGGAAATAATCGAACAAGGGAACTTTTCATTGGTTGTAAACACCACATAAATATATGTGTATGAAATCGAATCACTATATCAAATAATGTTATGTACAAATTTGTTTTATTTTTTTGTTTTTGTGTATTACCTGTTTCAATAAAATTTAATGCTTTACGAGCTTCTTGATCAATTTCGATCTTTTCGCCAGACATATTGGCTATAAAAGATAAGCAAATCCAAATGATTACTAGCAAGTGGTCTATGTCGATAGTAAATTATTGAGCTAGAGTTATGACCGTTTTAGTTCAGGTTTTGAACTAGCTATTCATGAAAATCTAAGTCGAAAGATTCCTATTGATAGACGAGTGTCATGGGATATATTGAAATCCTGAAGCAACTCGTGCTATTAGTTTTTTTTCTTCTCAACATATGCTCTTTTGATTGAGTTGTTGCCTAAGAATAATAGCTCTATTATAAAGAATGAAATTTCTTGTTGTAATTTTTTTCGTAATATCCTATCATAGACTGAAAGTTTGGTAAAACTGATCATAAATCAAGATGAAAAGTTGAATGGCATATGAATCCTTTCAGGCTTTGTATCTACATAATGAGTTCTACTTAGAATCGGATGGATTCCCTCGTTAGAAAGTCAATATCTTAAGAAGAATACATTCTTACGAACTGAAATTTTTACAATATTCTAGTATTCATGAAACTTATGTATGACTAAAAAATTTGTCTTTAAGTTTTCCAAAAATAGCTAGCCTATAAGCCTGAATTCATATGGATATTTATAAGTCCACCTAGTTTTATTCATAGTCAAAATGCAGGATCGAAAAAGCATTTCTTAGCTAGATATACATGAAAATGACAAAAGAAATCTCAACTTTACAAAGCTATCGTCATTCTGTTTTCTGAATGAATTATTTGATAGAAAATTTAAACTAATTTTTAGTAGAATTTAACCTAATGGTTTTTTGTCGTAAATTTCTATTGCTTGATGTAATCGTTCACGAATAGAATCAATAAAACGATTTGCATCGAGATGACGTGTTGATTGACCATTGGGTAGTTTAATGTCGAAACTAAGTGATATTGATAAAACACTATGTAAAACAACAAAATTAATTATTATTCATTAAAATCTATGATTTATTTTCTTTTACTTAGCAATATATTCTCGAACAGCTTTATATGGATGATCAAGCATTTCTTTAGCATATTCATTAATAGTACACCATAGAGTTGGTATACGCCATTCAAAAATTGTTAATTTTAAAACTAAAAACCAACGTGATATTTCAAGAAATGTATTAATTGTTGTTTTATTATTTATTAATGTACGAATAAATTCAATAAGACGATACATTCGACGAGGATCTAAATCTTCCTATAAGATAAACAAAATTTATTTATTTAAAATTAAATTATTATTTAAACAAACCATGCCAAATTTAAAACATGCACCCCAATATGGTAAAGTTTCTGAACTAAGATTAGAGCAAACTTCATTAAGAAATGGAATTAATTTTTGCCATAATTCATCAAGCTAGAATAAATCGAATAAATTTTTGTTTTTTTTTTTTTTGTTAAATGACAAACCATTTGTAATGTCCAATATTTTGAACCTCGAATCATTCCAGCAACAATTTCAGCTGCTATACGATGACAATCTGCATATTTTCCTTTAGTTTTTTCATGAATTAAAATATTTAATTGTTCCATAAAATGATCAATAAAATCCGAACCAAAATTTCGAAAAAGACCCTAAATATATTTATATTTAATATGAAAAAAAATTTTTTTTTTTATTTCTATTAATCTACTTTAAACATTCGAAATCGATTTATATTAAAATTTGTTTCATTTTCTTCATCTTCAATAATCATATATTGTATAAATTTTTTTATAAAATTTTTATCTATAAATCTATTATATAAAATAGCAACATGTTCAGGCATAGTTTCTTTTGTATAACGTTCACGTTTATTCATTGAATATTTAATTATTTTTGGCCATTCATAATAACCATGAAAACATTTATCTAAAAAACATGTTTGTTCCCATTCAAATTGTGTTTTAGGTGGTTGATAATTATTATATGTAATCCATAAATTATCATCACGATCACCGGGACATATGTTATTTGTATGATATAAAAGATCATGATTGGATTTTTCAAGATAAATTTTCGGTGGTTTTTGTATACGACATAATGCTGATACACATTGTTCAGCTAGCTGAATAAAATTTAAAACAAAAAACAGAACATTAGTTTCTTTGTTGTTTGAGTGAAATAAAATTTCATTAGGGATTTGAGTTTATTGATTTTTTTGAATCTGATCGTAATACTAAATATAAGATCTTTTAATGTAAAAAATAAAGCTCAATGAGTAAACGATTGCTATACATAATTTGAATTTGTAATCTTATGAATGAGAGAATTACATTGATTTTTGTATTAAATATGAGCTAGTAATTGACGGATCGATTAGTTTTAGTATCTTTTTCCAATTGAACTAGTCGCATAACTAGAGAATATCACGCATCCTTCAGCAGACATACAGGGTAGTCCAAAAGTTACCTACTAGTCTTAAATTACGAATAATTTTTGATAGGAACAAGATCTAGACCTATGGTGGGGTGTGGGTGTCAATTAAAAAGCTTCTATGAAAAAGCATTTTTCGTCTTAGTGAATATTATATAGATCGATGATTCGAACATCGCTTTTTCGAATGGTGAAAACCGCAGGTCTAGATCTTGTTTCTATCAAAAGTTACTCGCAATTTAAGACTAGTAGGTAACTTTTGAACCACTCTGTAGTCAAAGGATTAAGTCTTTCTCCTAGTTTTCGAAAAAAAAACTTTTCATTGATAAGATTTTCTAGACTTCTTGTTGAGGATAATATAATCGATTAATCTGAAGTTTTAATTAACAGTGCAAAATCAAAATAAACATACACATGTTTAGAATTTGCAGTAGATCTTCGCTATTTTTCCAGAATAAGGCAAAACTAAGATGTTCACTTGACTTCGATAGATTACTTTCCAATATCTGTGGTAAAAATTTCGAACCAATCTGATAAAGTTAGAGAGAAGTTATAATCAGTCAGCATTCATAAAAATTAGGCTTTTTTTTTGGCGTTATGTAGAGTAAAAGAAAAAAATTCATTAACGTTGTAGTCAAGTGTCGAATAATATCTTCAATGGCACATGAAACTTTAGCCTATCATCAATTCAAAATTGAGTCTTTTGATAGAAAATCGGAGAAATTCCTAAATATATGTTCGAACATTTAGATTGTATTTGATGATTCCCTTTCAATTTTCCTGAATTTCATTTCTAACATGCATTTTTTTAAAAAGAAATCGTATGTATATTTTATTCTATTCTAGAAACAAAAATGTATCTGTTATAGGAAATATTTTTTAAATATATTAGACAAACCTTTCGTATATCATTATTTTCATGAGTAAGAAAATCTACCATAATTCTAATACATGATAATGGAATTTGAATTTGTTTTTGAAGAAGAAATAACATAAATGTCATTATTATGATTTGTTGTCGACAAGTTCTAATATATATTAAAAAAATGATCTTTTAAACTATAATTATTTAAAATAAACAAATAAAATAAAACTTACAATACATGATTATAAAATGATGAAGCTAATTTTTCCATTAAATTATTATATGAATTAATATTTATTTCAATTTTTTTTTCATGTATTCGATTATATAAATCTAATTCATGTTTTTCTAATTTACGCCATAAATCAATAGCTTTTTGTTTTGATATATCATTTATATTTTCAATAATAGCTATACTATTAAAACGTTTATATATTTTTTCCATAATACAATTAATTAAATTTTGTGTACTAAGTTTTCTTGCATGTTTTGTACATGCAATTGATGGCCATAATTTTTCAAGTATTTTCCATGAATGTTTAGTTGGTAGAAAAAATGATTCATTACCAAGAAGTATATATAAACAACCTTTTATTTCATCATGATCAACATCATCAGTTTTATCAAGTAATTCAATAATACGATCAAGAATTATTTGATGTGAAAAGAAAAAATGAGAGAGCATTGTAAATAAATAAATTTGTGCTTGACGACGAACCTTTTAATATAAAATTAAAATTAGTTATTATAATTATTGTTACAGTGAGGGCTCAAAAAAAGCATGTACATTTTTGTTTTTACGCATAAACGAATAATAAGAATATTCTGAAAATTTTCTCTCATATCGGATTTTGTAGAGCTTTTTTCGCTTATCATTTTGGTAAAAAAAGTTTTTGATTTTCATTGAGTAATGACGATGTTATAGTCAAAATACTAAACACTGTAATAAATACTATATCTAATTACAACTGAACATACTCTGAAAATTACACTAAAACCTCACTAAATTCGTTGCTTTTCAAATAGTAATTATAGTTTTGTTCAGTTTTTTATGCTCTTTCATATGAAAGAGTTGGAATTTAAAAAAAAACCAAAATTTTATTAATTAATTGCTAATTAATAGTTAACTATTAATTAATCGCTAATTATTATTAACTATTAATTAACTATTAATTAATTGCTAATTACCATTAACTATTAATTAATTGCTAATTACCATTAACTATTAATTAATTGCTAATTATCATTAACTATTAATTAATTACTAATTATTATTAACTATTAATTAATTAATTAACTGTAATACAAGTATAAGTGCTTGTTACCAAAATGTAGCCCATTAAATTCTGCGTCGAATGATATATAGAATATCCTTCAGATGTTGTGAAATAACGTAAAAATTAGCCAAATACTAAAAGTGTGCTAAACTTTTTTCCTTACTTTATATTACAATGTTTAATATTTTGACTATAACATCATCATTACTCAATGAAAATCAAAAAATTTTTTAACCAAAATGATCAGCGAAAAAAGTTCTACAAAGTCCGATATGAGAGAAAATTTTCAGATTATCCTTATAATTCGTTTATGTGTAAAAACAAAAATGTACATGCTTTTTTTGAGCCCTCACTGTATTAATAATAAAGAGATTATTGTGATACACAATCATTCACTATACATCTACTTAATCTTTAGAAAGTAAAATAAGATTGTAGGTCATCTATTAGAATCTCATTACTATTTTGATATTATCATTGAAATTTTCTAATCGAAATGCGATAGTCTCTTTGAAGATATGA